ACTTGCTTGATTTCGGCCTTCCCACACGGCAAATGACATTTTCTCAGGTGAAAAGGCCCGAGTCACGGTTTAGGGTTTAGGGTTTAGGGTTTAGGGTTTAGGGGTTTAGGGTTTACGGGTTTAAGGTTGAGGGTCTAGGCACGCAGTTGCCTTATTTTCGCTAGCCACAAGCCAGATCACATTTTTCCTGGTGAGAAAATGTGATTCGGCTTGTGGCACCCTCCAAAACCCTGACCACCTTCAGCTTCTCACCCCTACAGAGAATGAAGCAACTTGCTTGATTTCGGCCTTCCCACAAGGCAAATGACATTTTCTCAGGTGAAAAGATGCTGTTTGGCTTATCACACCCATGATGGAGAACCCACTTTAAGCTCCTGACGCCCAGAGAGATTGCTTCACTGTGCTACTCAATTTGAGTGGTCTGCACTCTTTATGGTGAGAATGGCGCAAATACCCTTCATACCATATTTTCTTTATTAAATAGCGTTTGGCTTGTGACCCCTCCAAGAACCCTGATCACTTGGAGCCACTGATGCCCATAGACGTGCCTTGACAATCTTATGGAACGCAAGCCAAGCCATATTGCCAAGATCTATGATCATGAATCCTGTTCTCGGCGCATGCCTGTTTGACTTCTTTGTTATCCAGCTATTGACCAAAAGCCCGAGCGCAACGCAGCTCCTGGCCTTGGTCGTCTTCTTGCAAGGCTTTGCTGGCAGAGACCCCTCGCCATCTATGAAGCGCTGCACATCCACATACCTGCAGGCAATATTTGGCAATGATGCCGGGGCAAACCAAAGCGACAGGACCCGACTGTGAGAACGAAACGCAAGAAGAATAAAAAGAACAACAAACATGAACAAGAACGACAAGAATGATCAGAACACCAGCAGCAAAACTGACCACAGCAGGCTAAGCAACAGCAACAACAGCAACATTAGCTTCCCAGGCACTCTGGGCAGCCGTAGAGAATGGCTCGCTCGTCCTCCTTGTCCCAAGCGACGTAGGTGGACTTCTTGCGCTGATCAAGCTTCGCGAACCCGCTGATCTTGCAGTGCTCCTAACTTGCCAGCTAAAATTTGCAATCACGATGGCGGAAACAATGGCAATTATTATTCTGGCACACGGAAGCCCAGCGCCCTGTCCTTCTTGGCAAAACTGATGGCTGCGCAAAGTTCTGAGCGGAAGACCCCCCAGTAGACCTCTTGGTCCTTCCAGGCCATCTGGTAGAACCCGACCGTGCTGGTGATGCCTTCCTCGAGAACGTATGGCCTCAGTCGTGCGTCGGCCAGGTCGTCAGCGCAGACGACATGTGGCGCTCTCACCTTTCAGCACCAAGGGCAGCCGTGCTTGACTGAATTGAATCTGATTCACACTCTGATCTCTGCGGCTGTGACACTCCCATTGCTGCAGGTCGTAGGGACTTCAGGAAGCCCGGCATGCCAGCGCACAAATTGCGGCTGCGCGAGGCCATGGTGGTCCCAGACCAAAAGGTTGAAAACCTACGGCGGTCAAAGACCTACGGTGGTCGAAGACCTACGGTGGTCGACGACCTATGGTGGTCGAAGACCTACGGGTCAGGCCTGCTTGCTTCACAATGGGATTGCGGCGGAGCATGAATGTGCGGGCAGAAACAATAATAGGATGCAGAGGGCACAACAAAGCGGAACGTGCGCAATTGCAGAACAGAGCCTGCCACATGCAGCGATAAATCAGGAGCCCGGCCAGACAAGAAGACCAGACGCGTAGGTCCTGCAAACGCATGCGCTGCTCACAGGTTTGCTGGAAAGCACTCGGCGCATCGCTCAAACCTTGCAAGAAACTGACTCGACTCAGAAGCTATCGCAAGCACAACACGGCCCCATCGAGGCATCTGAGGGACGCATGCCCTGCAGTTGTCACGCGGACGTGGGATTGCAAATGCGGGAATGCCAGATCAATGTCGAAACGCCAGGCTGAAGCTTCACTGCTACATGCAGGCCGGGACTTAAATGTGTTCCAGAGTCTTCAAGTGAGCATGATTAGGCATTAGATGAAGGTCTGGGGGCTGTCAGTTTCGCAGTGGGCCTCAGCCTTCAACTGCCCGGGGGTCCTCCATCGGCAGGATCCAAGTCTGGCCTGGCGGCAAAGCTGGTTCACAACGGTTAGGCTTTGCTCCGGCCGTGACAGGACGATCCAAACCTCAAGACGCCTTGAAAGTTTGAACGCAACAGCTTCATGATGTCACGACAGCTTTCCACGGCTTGGTTAGCGAGCAAGCGGTCATCTAGAATTTCAGGCTCAAGGCGACTTCGGCAGGTTGAGCTGGTGGCTTGCTGGTGAATCTAAACTCCGTGTGAGATCGTAATGTCACGGCGGCATCATGACGCCACATGATTGCAATTCTGCCAGAAAGCAATGGATGACTCATGCAATTAACCAGTGTACACATAAGGCCCCTGCGCAGTGACTTAATCATCATCAACGTGCCTATAGCCCAACAAGGAACTGAGTGCAGTTTCCACCACAGCGCACGAAACCCTATGGGACCTGACATGTTGTCTCCAACATTCAAGCCTGCATAGCCACAAAAACGTGAGTGCTTCTTGTTCGCTACGCAATTTCCAGAGCCTAAGGCCTAAATCACTGCAAGGCAGAGGCAACCCATGCGCTTGAATCTTTCAAGGAACTCAACCGCACCTAGTTCGAACGACTTCCTCGGGATAGCAGTACCTGCTAGCTGCTAGCGATAGAAGGGCAATAGAGCCCACCTTGCAACCAAATTACGCGGTACCTGAATGTTGCTCAGAGTCAAGCAATGAACAGCAACCCCCACAAAGCAGCTCGCAGAGGCAAAAAAACAGGAATCCTGCGACTCTCAAAACCGGCTGGGTTTGCTACCTCGCTGAACATCAACGCCAGCGGGCGCCGGCAAGGTCCTGCCACGCACGGCAAATTAAAATTAAATGTTGTTTCCATCCTACATGGAAAAGTTTCTTGTGCTCTTCAAGTCTTGCGAAGGCTGCCAAAGACAAGAAGCAGTGGGAGGGAACTTGTTGTCCTTGGACCCCTGCAGCAGCAGGTTTTAATCAGCATTCCAAAACAAATACGGCAGAGGACTGTCCTATCCACATTCAAGCCGGAGGTCCCTCAGAAAGTAGCATTTCCTTCTTTGCAGGAGACTGTCAGGTCCCTACAGTTGTTTAGCACAGGCCTATGTCGCATAGACATACAAGTCATTTTACAAGCACGAAGAAGCAAACACAATGCCTACTACAGCCCCGTGTGCTCTCTGCATCGCGCTTGATTTCTAAGCAGAATGCCTCCAGCCCAGTAACCTTGTGGACCCATAGGTTTTGGGGGCTTCATCTAAAATTGGATACCCCCAGCCCCTGCAAGCCACACATGCGCTTTTTGATTCTTCTGCTTGCTTTGCTTGAGACTCGGAAAGCAGCTCCCGACGAAGGATTGACAGCCTCGTATGTTGTGGCAGCGTCGACGCTCACGCAGAATCAATGAGCAAATATTATTTTAAGTAAGGCTGGGGCTTACGAGGCCTACCATTCATTTGCGAAGCTTCTCTGCAAGACCTGGTGACATGCGCTTTGACAACCTGCCATACAGCTGAAATGACACCCCTCTGAACACGCCGGCCTCGCTGGACAGGGCCAGTTGCTGAAACAAGTATTATACTGGGCCTACCTAGCTTGCTAGACCTACAGCGCTTCTTATCAGGGCCTCAATTTTGAATGGAACAACTTTTTTAACTTCCCCGAATCTTAATTAATACCTGAGCTAATTAATTGCCTGCGGGCATGATTGAAATCTGGCCCCGTCAAGCGGGCAGCGGCAAAAGTAAATCGGCTTGGTCAAGGCAAGGCAGCCTGCTCCACAGAACTGCCGCCAGACTTCCAGTAATAGGAAGCTCGAGGGCCTGAGATCACATGAAGACCCAAAATCGGCAACTCGAAGACCTCCATCAGCCAAACTAGTTCTCTGCGCCCGACTCCGAGAGCTCCTCATGCTCCTCCTCCTGTTCGTCTTGATCTTGGGTTGAACCGCGCGCGGTGCTTTGCTGGGCTGAGACCTCTGAGCCATCGCCTCCCAAGGACTCAGCTCTGCTCAGCACCCTAACAGACCGAGTGAAGCCTGGCGCCGCGTTCTGCATTGCCAGAAAGATCTCCAAGTGCAAGCCTTGCAGCATCACGCTGCGAACAAGCTCGCTCGGCACAAAGCCGCGATAGTGTCGCCGGTCACGGGCGCAGGCGAGGGCGCTGCTGAAGCCAGCGTTCAAGTCCACAATCACAGATGGCCGGCCCTGCGTGGAGATCTGAGGGTCGAAGACCGAGAAGATATCGCGCAGCAGCGCCTCCTCCGCCTCCCAGGCAAAGAGCTCGAGGGCAGACTCTTGTGCGGGCTGCTCGTTCTCGGACTCGTCTCCCGAGGATCTCCGGCCACCATCGCCATCCCCTCCCTCCGCGTTCTCGCCGCCGTCCGCCTCAGTCTTGCAGCACTGCAGCAACACCATCTCGGAGATGAAGCTTGTGGTGCGACTGCTCTCAGCTCTCAGACCTATGCCACTCCAGGCTCGGTCGAGGGAGCTCCCGTCCCCGCAGTGCTTTCTTTTTCGGATCGGCAGCTTCATGGCCTTGGACGCAATCACCTGAACCGTTTCAACCGCCTCAGGGAGGTATGATGCAAACGTAACCATAGAGGATGTTCGCTTCGCCGCGGCGAAGCCACCTGGCATGAACTCCTTGTTGTGGTAGACCGTGGCGAAGGAGGCCGGGCGTGCAGGCAGAAAGCCCTTGTTCTTCTTGATCACCTTATTGCAGACCGTCTTGATGAGCTTCGCGTTTGTCGAGACCCTGCCATCATGGATTATCACGATGTCCTTGTCGGTCATGACCTAGACACAATTTGTCACAGAACTGTTGGAGAAAATAGCAGTCATGGTTTTCTATCTCGACAATTTCTTGGCATGACTGTCTTATTGGAGTTTAGTCCAGTAGCTCTGTTGGAGGATGCTTTGTCCAGGTCTCCGAATACGGCCCCCATGACCTTCTTGAACTCGTTCCCGGCCAAAGGCTTGAATCTGTAGATGGGGCAGACCGCGGTTTGGCCGCCATTGACCACCCCTGTCTTGGGGTCGTACCTGAACAGCTTGGGGCCTTCAGGCAACGCCTCAAGCGCCGCTTTCCAATCGTCCGTGGATTTGGGGCGCACATGCAAGGCCACCCACATGTTGCGGCCTGGTGTTGGCAGTGGCGGTCGTAAAAAAGAAATCTTGCAAGGAAGCGGCGCCCAACAGAAGGCTACTAGGATACTAGGATGCTCAGCCGAAGCTCGCATCAAAGCGTCATCCATCACCTCCTGAAATTTCACGTCGTCAGGCTGCCGGTTGAGGAGGTCCGTCACAAGGGGTGGGAGCTGCAGCAGCTTGAAATTCATCAAGCGATCCAAGCGCTGAGGGGCGATTTCAGGGCCCTCATGATCCGAATCCATCTTTGTCGCCTCATCGGCCGTTGCCTGCGGCACGTCCGGCACCTCCGGCTCCTCCGGCTCCTGCGTACAGGCAAACGAGGCTACACTAGAAAATCATATGGCCGTAATTTAAACATTCACTCGCCTTCGGGGCAGCGCAGGGGTCAGAGGGTGCCGCGTCGGACAAGACGGCCGAGCCAGAGCCGGTTGCGGAGTCTGCCGAGACCGCCCCTGACATTGCCTTCAGGAGACCGTCATGGTCATAGACTCCGCTCTTGCTGCACTCGAGGAGGAGGTTCTGCAACAAGGTTTTTCAAGAGTGATGGAAAACCAAAACCAACCAACTAAGACTTGTTACTAACTTTGGACCACACGCAGGCCTCCGCTGACGCAAACGCATCAACATCCAGCACCTCGTCCAGCAGCTTGTCGAGCTCTTTCTGGCCGCGCAGCAGCTTTGCTGCAAACTTTGCGACATCCTGCTGGTATTCTGGCAGTGGTGCCAGCCATGTGCAGGAGGTGCCGTTGAGACCGCTGTCGCGGAAGGCCTGGGCGGTGCCCAAATGCTTCAGCAAGACCTTCTCGGGGCCGTCGAACTTTCGGAAGAGGTAGTAGACCATGCGCCTTTTGGCCAGGAGCCGCGTGACGATGATCTTCAACTGGCTACCACTCAGGTTGTACGAGACCTTCTCGCTGCAAATGTAGTCATGGAGAAACTCCACAGACCAGAGCAGCCTGGGTGATCAGGATAAAGCGTCAGTAAACCCTCTGAGCCTTTTGTACAAGAACTTTATGTTGTGGCAGAAGCCCCAAAAAAAATTAAAAGTGTTGCGTGCTTTCATTTAGCCTAGGAACAGCGCCGACTGAAGACCGGGAT